AGCTGGTGATGCTGTTTGTGGAGATGATTAATCATCTTCTGCTGAGATCTTGAGAGATTTAATGTCTTTTATTTCAGTTGATTTTATCTAAGTCTGTGGCTGAAGTCAGTTGTAATTCTTGTTTCTTTTTTCTTCAGTGATTCTGCTCGTTAACAGCAGCTGTTCACCCCATCGTAGCAGCCATAATCTCATTTAGATGATGTTTTGTTTTTGTTTTGTTTTTGTTGTGAATGATTGTACGGTTATGTCATCATGTGTTAAGGTTTACCTTTTGTTTTGTTTTGTTTTGATCATTACTTGTTTTTATTCTGTGAAGCACTATCATAAACGACAAATTGTCTGAAATACTGCTAAATTACTTTCTTGCTTGTAATCACAAAAATAAAGAACCCCACTCACACCACTGTTGCTTTATCTGGTCCATGGCACAGAAATTACACAACTCTTTCTGTACTATTTCTTTACATTTAATAAATAATAAAAACTTACTTGAGCTTTGAACTTTAATGTTGTTATCAGTGTCTGCTGGATCATTCTGGCCTGTTTGAATCCTTGCCTTTACCAGCAGATTGCAGTCATTAGTTCCAGGGGGATTTCAGTCGGAAGTGAACATCTAGAAATACTCCAGCTCAGAGCCTCTGTGAACTTAACTTAACCTGTACTACTGTTGTTGTTGAAAACAGAAACAAAACTGAGTCACTTAGACAAAGTTTTTGATGAAAATTGTAACCACTGTAAAAAACACTGGAATAACATCTGTCTTGACCAGCGGTTGCTCTCCAGATCAGCCGTTCCTTAACGCCAATGAGGAGGCTACAGATAGTGATGATGATGATGATGACAATGATGATTATGAGGAGGAGGATGCAGATCTTGAAAATGAAGTCAGTGGTAAAGATGAGCAGGGTGGGTTGACCGACCAGACGAGGGGAACAATGTGTGGGTCTTCTGAACCAGAGTCCACCCATCCTTCAGTACAGGGTAGTCTTCAAAAGCAAGACCAAGTCAAGACCGGTAACTTAAAAAGGAAAACCAGACGGCCCAAAACTGCAGACAATACCTTTCAGGTGAAACTAAAGTACCGCCATTTAAGGGGACCAAAGCGCTCACAATCTGCCGAGTGTTTGTGTAGCAAAGCAGAAGGATCAGATCCTAACCAGCAACAAGGAAACCCGAGGAACAAGCAAACACCTCACTGGAGGAGAAAAAATCATTTGCCCGAAGAAAGTGTACATGAGGGTCATGTTTGGACAAAGATTAGAAGAAATTTATCAGGAGGACAGTGCACAGCCAGGTACTATGGCCTCCAGTATGGCAGCAAAGGGCCTTTCAGGGCAATACCTCCTAGCTCTCCTCCAAAGTTTACTCCAGAACCACCTGGGCGAAATGCTGTCAAGAGGCTTATTAATACTTTTAACCAAGGGGTGGAGGACAATTCAAGACAAAGTCCTTTAGACCAAAAACCAATAAGTGTCAGGGGCAACAAGAAATGCACTCTCCCACTGCTGCAAAACAGCAGAGGAGCTCTTACCACCAGTGGAAATATCAAAAAGAGCATCCATCCGCTTGAACCCAGACCTGAGCAACTGGATATAGACAGCCTCCCACCTCCACCCCCAGAGATGCTCATGGACAACTCATTTGAAAGCAGTTTAGGGTTGCCCACTGAGGAGGGGGCTCATGATTTACAGTGCAGAGGGCAAAGACTCCGCACGTCAATGCAAAGAGAGACTGTGCTCTCCAACCGGGCAAGCAGACAGCGAGGCTCCATGAGCTTCTCAACGACTCAGCCCGTCAGGCAAGATGCTTTGCCGGGTTCCTGCATTGAACAGGAATACAAAAAAGTGATTGAGCTGGATTCTGAAAGAGATGCAGCACACACCCTTGACCAGAAATTTAGAAAAGTTGTTCATCTGCCTGCAGAGTCTTCAGCCAAAACAGCCCCGACTAATGCAGGTTTGCAAGGTTCCACGCCTTATCAAGAATGTGAAAACCACAATGAGGGCGAGAATGCCACTATGCAAGCAAAAACATTTCCACCAACAACTCCACCTGTCTCGAGGGCACGGCCTCCACCCTCCTGTCCCACTGTGCGCCACGCAGTGCCAAGTCCTCCATCCACAACATCTGCCACCTCTAGTATACACAGATGTGCGATGGCCGAAGAAAACAGCTTTCCTGCTTCTGGGACACAATCATTTTGTGATGCTCGGGCCATGTTCTGTAAGGAGAGCCAATCACTCCCTCACACATGGACGCATTCATGTACGTCTACTTTACCTCGGCCATGGGGAGAACCTGCCAGAGGAAGACTGCCAACTACTCGTCTTCAACCTTCTTTTATGGGATGCAGCCCATCAGGTCAAAGGTCATCCCACAGTGAGCAGCCACAGTCATTGTCTAATGCCAAACAACAACAGGGCCAGAGCAATGACGTCACACCTTTGACCAGTGAGGGGTGAGTATCTCAGTGTCACTGCATGTGATACAACATATAGCAAATGTATGACATCAGGCCTGGACTGGCCATCGGGAGCACTGGGAGAATTCCCAGTGGCCTGGCGGCTGATTTGGCTGGCTGCCCTGATTTATTTATTTTTTATTATTATTATTAATATTTTATATGTATGCCTTCTCAATGTACCAAAGAGATAATTTCTGATTTTTTCATTCGATAATAAATCGATAATAAATCATAAATCGGTTAGTGTTGACTGTCAGCGCTCCGCTACACGAATCAGCTCACGTGTGTTCCACGCTTCCATCAAACGATTCCGAACAGAACCGACGCGCGGGACTCGATGAAAGCGAGGAAGTGGACAGAAGAAGCAGTGAAATGCAGCTACATCCCTGACCTGTTCAGGGCTACAAGTGCAGGTCAGCTTCATCTGTAAATACACTATAGTTTTGTCTTTATTAACCTAGTTGAGTAATAAACTGCTAGTATCTGTTAGGCTATCAGTAGCAACCCATTATTATCATCATTCAGAATACTGTGCTAAAGGACATCAAGATCGATTGTAAAGTTACATTAAAAAAAATTAGCAGAGACAGATATTCCCATGGATTTATTGTACAGGGAGGGAGGGAGCTAGAGACAGCAACACAAAAATAATATGAGTCACAGCCTAATAATTCAATAGTATGTTCAGTATTATAATTTTTCAACAAATATATTGTACTAATTTTGATATTTAGGCACTTTAGAAAATGTTTTAATACACAGTCAAAAGGTTTTGATCAGTACGATGCTGCTCACCAAGCCTGCTCTTTTGTAACATTATAAATGTCTTTATCATCACTTTTGATCAATTTAAGGCATCCTTGCTAAATAAAAGTAATAATTTCTATAATCCCCCCCCCAAAAAAAATTATATATATATACTGTATATATATATATACTGACTCCAAGCTTTTAGTATAAAAGTGCATGTATAATGTTACAAAATATTTGTATTTTATTTCAGATAAATGCTGATCTTTGGATCTTTCTATTCATCAAAGAATCCTGATGTACTCAACTGTTTTAAATAATAATAATAATAATTATATCAATAAGAATAATCAGAAATGTTTCTTGAGCAGCAAATCAGCATATTAGAATGATTTCTGAAGATCATGTGACACTGAAGACTGGAGTAATGATGCTGAAAATTCAGCTTTTTGATCACAGGAATAAATTACATTTTAAATATATATTCCAATCGAAAGCA